CCCTGCACAAAACTAAAGTCCAAGTGGATCAAAGACCTCAACATAAAACCAGATACTCTAAATTTATTAGAAGAAAAAGTGGGGAACAGCCTAGAACTCATTGGCACAGGAGACACCTTCCTGAACAGAACACCAACAGCACAGGCTCTAAGAGCAACGATGAATAAATGGGACCTCATGAAACTGAACAGCTTCTGTAAAGCAAAGGACACTGTCATCAAAACAAAACGACTGCCTACAGATTGGGAAAGAATCTTCACTAACCCTTTATCTGGCAGAGGACTAATATCGAGTATATACAAAGAACTAAAGAAGCTGAAAAGCAGCAAACCAAGTAATCCAATTAAAAAATGGGGAACAGAGCTAAACAGAGAATTCTCTGTAGAGGAATATCGAATGGCAAAGAAACACTTAAAGAAATGCTCATTCTCATTAGCCATCAGGGAAATGCAAATCAAAACGACCCTGAGATATCACCTTACACCCATCAGAATGGCCAAAATGAAAAACTCAAGGGACAACACATGCTGGAGAGGTTGTGGAGAAAGGGGAACCCTCCTCCACTGCTGGTGGGAATGTAAACTGATACAACCACTCTGGAAATCTATCTGGCGCTTTCTAAGACAATTAGGAATAGTGCTTCCTCAAGACCCAGCTATACCACTGCTAGGTGGTATACCCAAAGTTTGCTCAAGTACACAAAAGAGATATTTGTTCAACCATGTTTATAGCAGCTTTATTTGTAATAGCCAGAACCTGGAAACAACCCAGATGTCCATCAACGGAGGAATGGGTACAGAAACTGTGGTATTTTTACACAATGGAATACTACTCAGCAATCAAAAAGGAGGAAATCATGAAATTTGCAGGCAAATGGTGGGATCTAGAAAAGATCATCCTGAGTGAAATATCCCAGAAGGAGAAAGACAAACACGGTATATACTCACTTATATAGACCTATAAGATATGATAAACATAATGAAATCTATACACCTAAAAAAGATAATCAAGAGAGCGGACATGGGGTAATATTATCAATCCTCATTTACAAAGACAGATGGGATGCGCATTGAACATATGACAGGAGTCTACTGAGCGCATTTGAAAGACTCTAACTAGCAGTGTTTTCAAAGCAAAGACTCATGACCAAACCTTTGGCAGAGTACAGGGAATCATAAAAAAGAAGGGGAGTTAGTCTGATGAGGAAAGGATAGGAGCTCCACAAGGACCAAAGATATCTGGGCACAGGGTCTTTTCTGAGACTGACATGCAACCAAGGACCATGTATGAATGTAACCTAGAACCTCTGCTCAGATGTAGCCTGTGGTAGCTCAGTAACCAATTGGTTTCCCATAGTGAGGGGAACAAGGACTATTTCTAACAGGAACTCAATGGCTGGCTCTTTGGCCTCCCCACCCCCCAAGGGGGGAGCAGTCCTGTTAGGCCACAGAGGAGAGCTTTTCAGCCAGTCCTGAAGATACCTGATAAAACAGGATCAGATGAATGGGGAGGAGGTCCTCCCTATTAGTGGACTTGGCAAGGGGCATGGTGGAGATGAGGGAGGGAGGGACTGGGAGGGAAAGAGGGATCAGGACACGGCTGGGATACAGAGTTAATAAAATGTAACTGATAAGAAAAAAATAAAATTAAAAAAAAACAGTAAAAAAAGAATAAAAAAAAAGAAATAAGAAAGAAAGAAAAAAAAAACAATGAGCAACCTACATGATGGAATGAGAGAACTGACTTCCAAAACTTGCCTTCTGTTTTTACAATTATGCTGAAGCATGTGTAGCACCCCAACACACACAGGACATGCACACGTATACATGCACATGAGCATACACACTGAATAAATGAATAAACAATTCAACATGGGCAGTTACAATGTTGTGGTACTCCATGGACTTCATATAAAGAGGATTCTAAATGATGTTCCATCAACTTTCATATTACATATTTGTGTTGTATTCATGCTTAAAGCAAGAGCTTTATTATTAATGTTCTTCTATATACAATTCTGCACATTGAGTATAAAAAACTTGATTGTTTTGTCATCAAAACATCACTATTTTGTTTTTTTTAACAGATGATACAACTTTGGTTATGGTCTCACATTTAATTCACTCTGAATATTTCATATTAAAATAAAATATGGTATATTCTGTGTATTTCTCTATTGAGAAACAATTACAACACAAAGAAAATGCCAGAGCCTCTTCATCAACACACATACCTCCTTCCAGAAACATCATTGTGGATTTACTATTCCACATTTTCATGCATTCTTTTAACCTTTTAAACCCTACTATTATTAACCAGCATACAGTATTATATTCCTTTTGTAAATTCAATATGCATGGTATCTTTCCTATGTTTATGCCATTTAACATTTTATCCACCATTGTGCCCATACGATTCATATCTAAGCTCTCTGATTCTCTGGGTGTTCGTTTTGTCTGTAGCATAGAAGTCCACTGAACAGTTATACTACAATTCATTCACCCATCCATATAATTTGTGTCTTATTTAATTTCAGTTTAAAAAAAATCTATGTACTTTCACACACACAACTGTAAAAAAAATTCTGGATTTAATACATACCAATTTATCTATCCTTTCTGAGTCCAAAAAGGTTGCCCTCCTTTTTTCTTAATTATTTTCATACTCTTCTTCAAATGAGTTGACCCAATGGAATCTCTCACCAACAGTGCTTACAACACATTGGAGACTATGTTTATAATTTTCCTAATTAAAAATAATTTTCATTCGTATAAACATGAAGTATTAAAATTGCAGATTACATATACCTAATTACTAATAATCACTTGTAAATATTTAATTTTCTTATTTATTACAATTTATTCACTTTGTGTTGTAGCTTTAGTCCCCTTCCTCATCCCCTCCCACTCCCGCCCTCCCTCCTTCTCACTTTTGTAAATTTATGTCACTTATATTTTTATATCTGCACCTTGCCCTTTCATATGTTTTGTCTGTTGTACTGTTTGTTTGTGTTTCACTTTCTCAATGCAGAAATGTTTACGTTTAACAATGTATATATAAATCCTTTACTGAAGGTTGTAGCGCTGGCATACTGGGTAAAAAGGCACTCGCCACCAAATCTGACTGCATGAGTACATATGGTGTCCTACAGCCCACATGATGGCAGAAGAGAACTGACTCCCAAAAGCTGCCTTCAGCCTTTACAAACATGCCAAAGCAGGTGTGCACCCCAACACACACACACACGCATACATGCACACACACATATACACGCACAGATGTACACACACACACACACATACACACTGAATAAATGAATAAAGAAGTGGAATAACAATAGAAATTTTCTTTCTTAACAGTAAAGACAGGAATGTCTCTCTCTCTCACCCATCACTTCTCTATTAGAATGGGTGTTTTTTTGCAGAACTGAAGTCTTAATTTCTAATGCAGCTCAATTCATCTACATTCTCCTCAACACTTTACTTTTTTGTGAGTTTTAATATAAACTCTTCCCTTCTCTGTGACAGTAAAGATATCCTCTTCCTTTTCTTTCTTCCCTTAAAAGTTTTTATTTTTTTTTATTTCACTTGAATCTTTTAAACAACTTGATGCTCACATTCTCTCAGCATGTAAGTCAGGAATCCAGTCTGTCACCAACTAATATGTTCTACTTCATTGTCCTGAGTAATTTATTGAGTAGTTGAATGAGTGGTGTGCGGGCTGATGTGTGGTGAGTCACAAACATCCATTACCACTCAAACCTATGAGTGGCAAGGTCATAAAACTGTACTTTCCAACAAACACTGTAGTCAGTTATACAGAACAGTGTGAATCAGGTAGGCACCACCAGAGTAGAGTGCACAGCCCCAGGAGGCGATCTATTGCCCCTGTTACTGAGAAGAATACCAAGCCTTGTGAGAGAAAATGGAGGAAATGGTCACCCCTGAGTTCCCAATACCAAGTGGTCAGCCCTGAAGTCATATACATAGAAGTAGCACTAACCAAACTCAGCATGTGGTATTTATGTATTTAGGAGAGAGAGAAGTCATAACAAAACAAGGGCATGATTTCAAGAGAGAGCAGGAGAGATGACCTGGGAGGACATGGAAGGAGGAAATGGATTAGGGAAAATAATGTAGTTATGTGTGTGGTTATGTTTTAACTCAAAAATTTTAATAAAAAAATAAAAGTACATTTTATTAAGCTGTATTAAACATAATATGCAAGATTTTAGAATTATTACGAAAATGTCTTGTCAAGTGTCTTAATAACACTTGATGCAGATTTTAGTATACAAATTGAAAGATAATTTGTGTAAGATTAAAACATTTAAAAAAAATCTTCATATCTACCTGGCAAACTGGAATTGCTGAAATACCACTTGAGTGCTTATATGAATAAAGTATATGATTGAGTTTATATTTTTGAAACAGCTAATTTCCAACTCAGCATCCTCGGATTCACTTCCCCAGTGCTGGAATTATGGGTCTGTGCCAAGGACCTCAACTTCATATTAATCATTCATGTATGAGTGTAAATCAACTCAAAGATGTTGATGAAAACATGTTATTTGCATCTTTTTATCGAGGTTTTAATAGACTTGCTGTATTTTTTCAGGGTTTTGGATGAAAAATAAGACATCAGTTGAAAGCTTTGTTTCTTATTAATACCATTCCTCTGAAATCATAAGGGCGCCATTCACTTTGGAACCATGGAAATTTGTCCCCAGGAGCTTACACCTTTATATAAATGCTTCTAACGGCTTTACTCATAGTTTCTAAGATCTGAAAACAACCAAGGCTTCCCTCAGCAGGGCACAGACGAATAGGCATTCTAAAGTATTAAAAAGCAATGGAATGCTCAGAAATGACTCCATTGTTTCTAAAACAAAAGTTTAGAGGTAAATTTCTCTATCTCTGAAGACCTTTCTATTTGAGAATTGTTATAGTAATTTGATAATTTAAAATATCAATAACTCAATTGTCTATTTTTTCTTTAAGTGTGAGTCCAAGTTCTAGGAGTAAATACATTCCTCTCTATACGTAAGTGACATTTATTGCTTTAAAATATACTATATTTAAGTCTACTTGTGTTTTGTTTTGTTTTTTTTTTTACTATGCATTCAGTACACTATTAAGTACACATCTGTGTTCTAACATGCTCCAATGGGCTCTGGAAGTTGAATCAAAACTTTGTTAGAGATTTTGATCAAGTTACAAAATGAGGAGTGACACATTTTCTGTTTTTCTTGTTGCTCCTACTCGTGTTGTCAGTGAGGAACAACATATAATTGGAAAACTGTGCTCATTAATACTGAATATCAGGAAGAACCTGTCCTTCCCTGCGCTAGCTCTGGCTCTGTGGATGGCAGGAGTGCATTGTTAATACTCAGCCATCTCCTTCCCTTTTCGTTCTTAGTTTGAAGGATCATCGCCTTGAAATGAAGGAGGTGGGAAAGAATGAAGGGGGGGGCAGACTTTGATCAGGGCTTCCTCCTTCTTACTGTTCTCCAGTGGAGCTGGCTGGTGTTTTAACCATGACACCAGAAGCCCTTGCAACTTGACCTGCTGATGTGGTCAACCTTCCCACATTCTCTCACACCTCAGTGCTTCTGGCACCTGCCTAGACTCCCAACCACACAGGATTGCCTTACTGCCTCCAGCAGATATCAACACCTTTCCCCATGCCTTTGCTTCTACCCTGTGACTTGTGGCTGCAGAAGAAGCCCAGCTTCTGGACTCAGAGACCCTGCAAAACAGCCACTGTCCCTCCTGCTCAACTTTACCATCCCAGAGTAGAGGCCTCACTTTCTGAAGACAAAGGGCCATACCTTTCTTGGTTTGAATTCCAATTGTCATCTATCATCATACTTTTACTTCTTGAGCTTTTGATCTATGTAACAAATAAAACATCCCTTATTTGCTTTGCTCAACTAATCTGTTTGCTACAACTTTCCCTTTCCCTGCAACAGTGGCCATGTGCAGAATACAAACGCTGATGATGTGGACAACCCCTTTGGAGATATCACATCTGTGGCCATGCCTCGGCACTCTAAGCTGCTCTACACAAACACAAGCCAGTAAGTGCCATTCTCACTTGTTTCCCTATCAACAGTGTAAAACATGGTGATACCATTACAAACGAAAGGGAAATAAATGGGTTGGTTTGTTATGAACCAAACTTATAAAGAAGGATGTGAGTTCCCAGAAAGAAATGATCACCTAGGAGATGACAGTTTGGGGACTCACCTGGGGCTCCTTTAGCAAGCTATGATATCACTGTGACTTCAGTGTCTCCATCCAAAAACTGTGTCACAAAATGCCAGCAGGAACCAACAGCATTCGTAAAGGGATTGGCTGACCAGCAGGCCATCAGTCACTGGACTGTGTAATCATCAATACTGAGAACACTACTTTATATAAATGGCTATAAAATGGCAGAAGTGACAAATTAAAACTGTCTTAATCACACATGAAAACTCACTGAGCAACTTTTTAAATAAAATTCCAGACAACAACTCAGTCATTTTCAAAATCAAACATTTTACGGCTGCAGAGATGGCTTGGTGCCTAAGGGAGCTCTCTGCTCTTATAGTGGACCCACATTTAGCAGCCAGAACTAACGTCAGACACTCAACCACTCACTTCTCCAGCTCCAGAAGATTTGAGTCCTTCTTCTGGTCTCCTCCAGCACCCACAAGCACGTGGTGCACAGACACACAGACTCGTGTATAAATAAAAATAAATCTCAAAAAAAAAAAGAACTCAAGCCACCTAACAGTACATGCTAAAGTTACACTAATTTGACGTTTAAGTGCTAAGAATGATGATAGGAAACTACTAAAGTCTCTTTTGTAATTGGATCATAATATTTCTATGATAGCAGAAAACTGTAATAGACAGTTTTCTATATGGTAAGACACTTCAGTGTGTAGGACACACGGTCTGGAATCTGAGCCTGTGTGTTTCAGTGCTGGCGATGCATGGTGTGGTGGCATGAGCAGTGCAAAGTGCTCATGTTGTGTGCTTAGAACCAAGACAGTGAAATCAAGTGATGATACAGGTCACACTGACTGAAACACCTGAGATTTATTACAAGTTAATTATGAATCAGTTTTGGGTGAGGGTGCATTCAGAAACGTTTTATTATTACTAAATTTTATGATGGCCACATTTGAATAGATGATAAATGGGTCCATGATTCACAGTCTAAGAAAGAGGACCATAGAATATACATACTCAGTCAGACCCTCTTTGTCCTGCGATTGGATAAACCCATCCTAAGTTATTCTTACTTCACAAAACACAGTGCAAGCTGGATTAGAAGTACTCCTTTCTGCAATCCTGGGCCAGACTCATAGTTCCGTGTTGCACCCTAGCCCAACAGAGAATTGGATCACATGTGTTAGCCAGGGGAAAGATTCGCATTCAAAGTCAGGGCACAGTTTCTATTGAATACGTGCCACGTTTGCACCAAAACAGCAAAGTCAGAAAGTAAGTTAAACTACTACACATCCCTCCATATTAGATATTATAATATATTTTCATTATCTTAGTTACTTTCCTATGGCTGCAAAGGGAATACCTGACCAAAGCAATGTGTAGAAGGAAGAGTTTATTTGGGCTGAGGTTCCAGATAAATAAGGGTCTGTCATGTCTGGGAGGCAGCAGCTGGAGCAGCAAGCTGAGAGCTTACAACAAAGGAAGCAATGAGCAATGGGGATGGACCTCAGGGCCTGGCTTCAGTATACTTCCTTCAGAAAAGTCAGACCTTCTAAACTATGATTGGTTCCTATAATCATAGGACATGTCTTACCCAGAACTTCACATAGCTGCAGCATGAGTTGTCACAACATTTTAAATGCTAATTAATTTTATCTTTAAAAACATGTTATGCAAAAAAAACATGTTATGCCCACAAACCAATGTAGATAAATGTCTTATTAGCTGACATTCTGCTATTCTAATGTTTGTTAAGTGTTCTTTATTTCCCGTTATTTATTTCTATTATTTATTTCACCTAATTCTTTTTTACTCTTTGTCAGTCTATAAAATATCTATCAAAACTATTATGTTGGCTATAGTACATTTATGTAAATGGTCTCATCAAGGAATTTAAGCATGTTTGTCTAGAGATGGAAGCTATGCCAACAACTGTCCTAATGAAAATATAAAAAAAATAAAATAAAAGACTTGCCTCCAACAAGCTAAAAATCCTGGTGGACAAACAATTTCACAAAAACCTGACTTTGCTTTGTGACCCACAACTGTGAAGAAGTCATTCACATGCGGCATTCCAAAGTCCGTTGAGGCCTGCCTGCTGTGTTCCAACAAGGCTGTAGCAAGTCAGTGTAAAATTCTTCCATAAATTCTGCAAAGAAACCATTGACATTTAAACAATAATTCTAAAAATCCTGAAAGAAAGAACTTGAGGAGAAAGCCAATCTTAAAATGTTCGCCACGCACAAGATTTTAATAATGTTTTAAGGACACCAAGCAGAAGAGAAGCCTGAAACTGACATTTAACTGTGCTTCTCCAATGTGGGCGCCAGAGGGCATCCCAGGTTGCAAAGTTTCTTCTCTTGATTGATTTTTTTCTGTTTTTTAACAAACCCTTTTAAAACACAACAAATGTTTTTCGTTTTTATCATCAAGTGTTTATGGATGCCGTGACACATATTATCATACGTAACACACATGACTGCCTGTGTGTTTGCCCACACTGACCTCAAGAAAGAGATTTCTAGTGAACTCTTCAGAGCTCCTCGTGCCCTGTGCCCGGGGACCTAATCATCTCCTTTCCTGCCCCAACCAAGAAGCTCCCAGCTCCACTTCGTGCTGATCTCTGGATTGGCCACTTGGTAGTTCTGCTACCTACAGATGTGTCTCAAATTAAATGTTATGTATTTTGCACAGTATCACACTGGGCTATCATAAAATTATAGAATTTATAAAGCATGATTTCATCTCCATAAAGTCTGAGGCCCAGAAACGCCAATTTTTACTTTTGTGCCACATAGGAGGAAACAAACAAACAAACAAACAAAGCCCTCACTACCCCATTCAAATGCAAGCATGGCATTCCTTGAAGTTCACAACCTAAAAGGACTTCTTACTTAAAAGTACCCTTATGATATTATCCTTAGGATCCAGAATATTAGTGTTTAACCAACCTTTGCAATGATGCTGTCCTTCAGTAAGGCAAAAAGTCAGTAAGTCAGTAAGGCAAAAAGCTGACTTCCAGTGACTTGATCCAAGCCCCTCCCCCACCCCATTATCTTTCAAACTTGAAACTTCCCACAGTTGTTTTCTTTCTTCTCTTTCTTTTCTTTCTTTCTTTTTATTTCTCTCTCTCTCTCTTTCTAATTAACAGGTCATCTGACATCACCAGTGTGGTCTACATTGGTGGAGAGTGCGTAAACATTTTAAGTTTTATAGAATTGAATCTGATCTTTATAGGAATGGAGTGCAGAAAACAATAGTAAACACAAAATCATACTCTGCCGTGACAACACAACTGCTGTTTTCCACCTGTCACATGCCCCCCTCCCTTGCTGCGATGTGTCGCAGGGAGTATGCACCACCTCTGCACTAGAGCATGATCATGAAACACACTTGCCTGAACACCATTCCTGTTCTTGCAGATGTACTACAATTGACTGATTTCAGTTCATATATAAATTGTTTCCTTTCTCTTTTCTTTTTGCTATTATACATAATTATCTCACATATTCTCTGCATATGTCTTTCATGATTTAAAATTATTTACTTAGTGGAGGTTCCTTGAAATAGATTCCAGGGTCAAAATTTACCAACATTTTCAAACCTGTTGTTCAGTCATTTTTCCGGAACTGATGTGTCCATCATGGGTATGTGTCTACCTCTAGTGTTCGCATAGCTCATCAGGCATTACCTTTTAACTTCTGCACATCCTGATATAAAACAGCCCAAGTATTTATAAAGTATACAAAGTAAGCTGTCTCTTACTTTGTTTCTATACCAGTGTTGGAGATTTGATGATCCTTTATCTGTGTATCAAAGAAGTCTGCAATATATGTATATGGTGTGTCTATATTCACATACAATTTGCATGCATGTAAGATTTAAATAAACCCTGAGTATTTTCTCCATGATTCATTTAATGGTTGCATAATATTCCTCTATGAAACTAAACCAAGTTTATATAGGCCAAGTTCTCAACATTTTTCCTATGACAAACAATGAAGGAAAAAAAACTTTTGCATTTATTTTTTGCATAATTATGGCTACATACGTGTATATCACATCCCTACAAACAGAATTATGACATGTTTTCACCTTATGAACAACAGTTTCCTAATTTGGCATTCATGTCCAGATATGAGAGGACATTCAAAGTTAAGGAACTTACAGCTTGAAAGTATGTCAAGGCCCAGGAAAATCCAAACTATCCATCATGTTGAACAAGAGTTCAAAATAGCTTGACAGAGATTTCACTTCAACACCTTTCGTGGACATAGGTGACAGTCAGGATCTTCTTTAAATTATATGATTAGCCTCCATTTTCTAATCTGAATCAAACAGGAAAGTTAAGGTAAGGATCATTTTTTTCTTTCAGTCTGACTTTGCCTTTTTACACAAGAATGTCTTAGACTTTTGACAAGCTGAACACAAAACCAGTTCTTTTTGTGATTTCTGCCATAACCCTGTGTCTCCATAATAGCCACAGTCAGGAGTGGTCAGGACAGGCAGTCAGAAATGTCTGAAATGTGCCTGCAGACCTGTGCCTAGGAGCAACCTGCACCCCCTCCGAAGAAGCAAGCTGCCTCCGAAGGAGCAGCTTTTCTTCCACTGTGGAGTCGGAATGAAGGAGCAAGGCCGTGGCACCTGCTCTAGAAGCACTTCCACCATTTTCCCAGAAAAGAGTGAGGATGGCCTGTGAGGGAGGTGCAGGTCCAGATCATTGATCGCTGTCTCATCACAACTAAGAATATTGTCTGCCTCAGAAAGTCAGTCCCACACTGACTCTGCTTTTTCTGCTGCGGGAATTTCTGTGAGGACACATCAGCCAATAAAGAGAAATTGTCCAACACAGATTCGC